AGAAAAAAAGTCTATCCTAGACTATTAAGTATCTGCTGCTGCTTTCGCATGGTCTACTTCTATTTGATGGCATTCTCTACCTTGCTGATACAATATAAATCTATAAAGCTAATTTTATATTTACATGGAGAGGCCAGGCAATTAGAGCTCTGGGGGGAAGATTTTCACAGGATTACCTTGAAAGAAATGATGTATTTATCTTACGGATAATGCACAGCCCCAGAGGCATAACTTCCAGAGTACCTGGGGACTAGTCACTTCCAACATAACGGTGGGAGCCAATAGTTATGGACTTTTTAAACATGTTGTTGAGCATACACTTTCCTCTAACGTAGGTTGTAGACTGTAATGAAAGCCAAAGTTCCTTTGCAACCTTTTTTAAAGAAATTTATAGTCCAGGGTTTGGGGGGGGGGGGGGATAGCCAGCTTATTTGACTATTGCTTTTAGTGTTTTTTGATTTTGTACATTTAGAAAATGAGGTTGTATTTTTCCCTTTTTGAAAAAGCTTTTGTATTGTTTTAAAACATACGATTTTAGACTTTAGGTAATATACCATCCAAATTTTAATTTAAACCAAGTATTACTAATATATTTCATTTATAACATGCTATATGCATAAGCATACGAAGCAGATAAAAACAAATCATAAGTTTTATTTTACTGTACTGGCGACAGAATAGTCTGCCTTACAAAACAATATAAATCATCTTTTACCACTGCTCTCCAAAAATAATTTGGGATTCATCAAATCTAAATTGTACCTGCCCAAACTGCCAATATTTTTGGTTTCACCGACTGTACTCTTCCTTCACTTCCTCCATGTCTTGAGACAAATAGAACCAATATTTCAGCAGCAGTTTCACAATAAACAAAGGTAAAAGAAAAGCAAGGAAGGGTTTATTAAATTTCTTAAGGGTATGTGAAAGGATAGATTTTAGCATCTGTAGCATATAAGACAAGGTATAACTAATAAGGGTGTATAGGAGTGTGATGTGTTTCTGAGCCTAACTGCCCATTTTCTCACCTGAGTACTACAGTTTCACTGCCTAGCAATAAACATATTAATAGATCATGTAGAAACTCACTAAATTGCTTTCTTAAATATAATGATATACAGTAAATATGTCTTTTCTTAGAATATAAAAATAATGTGCTTGCAATGTTAGTTAAGTGTAAGTGGAAGCACCTATTTAAAAAGGAATAGAGAAGAAGATAGAACAATTATATCTCAGTTGGTCTGGGCCAATTCTGAAGATAGAGAATCACAGAAGCTCTATAATCTAAATCTTATTAAAGATATGTACCCCCTTTGTAACACCCTAAGGAAGCTGTTATTCCGCCTTATTCATTACTTACCAACACAACTAAGATTTTCTTATTTAGGAAAAATAAACTTATATGCGACCTATTTAAAAAAATGTCGTCTTAATTTTCAGATTGTCAGCCATGCCTTTAGTGAAGAGGAACATCGAGCCCCGGCACTTGTGCCGTGGAGCTCTGCCTGAAGGGATCACCAGTGAACTTGAATGTGTGACAAACAGTACTCTCGCTGCAATCATTCGCCAGCTAAGCAGTCTGAGTGAGTCATCTCTCTTGTTTCATCAACTTTGCATTATCAAACGGATTTTAACTCCATATTTGCAGCTTTAAAGAAAAGAATCTTCCATATTTGCTGGTTGCTGTGTCTGTACTGGGCTCCTGATACTTAAGTCTGTACAGTGCAGACATAAATCCTGAAAACACTAGTTTACAAATGGTTAGATAAGACCAAATATGTGGGCTTAATTGTGTTCATTTTTAAAGCTCTTTGAAATGAAGGTAATTGTAGTTTAAAATTTTTTATTTTAATGAACTTTTTTGTGAAATTTCACAGAACTAGATTTCTTCTGTTAGTGTAGATTGGAAACTGATTAATCCCTGGAGTATAACTGTGTGTGGTGGATGTTCGGTACATATTGTCTACTAAGTAATATTCCAAGTGGACAATGGAATAAACACAAAGGCAGTTAAGATTTGCCGATTTTTTTAAAAAAACTTATTAAAAGTTAAAATTCAAGTTCTGACTTCCAAATTGAAAATAGTTAAACTGATTATTACATAGATATGTGTTTATACATATAGATAGATGGTGTATGCAGACATAAGGAATAAAAAGGTTTCTCTTATTCTAACTTTGAAGGGCAGCATTAAATATTCAAGATATATTGTCTGTAGGATTCAAATATGCATGAAAATGCCTTTTCCTTCAAAGCTTTCTGAACTTCTGTTTTTTCTAACTTATATCATGATCTTGTTTTCTCAGTTTCTCTACTCCTTTTTAGTGGTGACAGATTTTCACATTTAAAAATTTCAGAAACTCTGTTAATAACTAGAGAATCCTCCATGAAATTCTACATACTGATAGCCTTAAGCACAGAAAGTGGTGTGTGTGTGTGTGTGTGTGTGTGTGTGCGCATGCACACGCATTCTTAAGAAACTCAAATACTTTCATTTGCTTAGTTTAAAGAAGAACCACTGCAGATAACTCTATTTCTTTAAAAGAATTGTATTTGGTATTGATATGTATTTTTTAAATACTTAATTATTTTTATTTTATGTGTATGAGTGTATTGCCTGCATGTGTGTAAGTGCACTTGTGTTGTACAGTTACGTGGAGGACAGAAGAGGGCATCAGATCCCCTGGAACTGGATTTACGGACAGTTGTTAGCTACCATGTGGGTGCTGGGAATCAAACCGGGTTCTCTGCAAGAGCAGTCAGTGCTGTTAACCACTGAGCCATCTCTCCAGACCCAGTATTGATACATTTTTAATAGATTTGTAAGTATTAGCTTTAGGGAAATGTAACTTGGAAATTAATTAAAATGTATTCTAGCAGGGATTTCTTCTGAAATCTAAGCTAATTACAATTGATTTTTTTGTAGCGGTTGTTGATAGAATATATAAATTCAAGTAATTACAAATAAAATTCCTCTGTATATTACTGATAGATAAAAGTATTTTTGTTTGTATTTGTCTATTTTTGTAGGTGTGCTTCTGCTTATGGCTAAAATGTCTACTGGCATAAAGTATAAGTGACAAAAACTGATATAAACTGTTAAAATTTTAATAATTAGTCTGTGTCTTGAGCCATAGTATTCAACAGAATGTTATATCAATTGTGTCTCTTCCATCCAATTGGCCACCATCTCATGTAACTGTCTCTGCCCACCTCTTATGTTTTATTGCATGTAGCTCTTATGATAGACATAATCGTAAAATCCCCTCCAGATGTATCCACATGTTGCTGCTTAAAAGCTCTGGGTGTTTATTATGTGCAAGGAGGAATGTTAAGCAGCCGACCTTAAGAGAAGGAGATTCCATTCCGGGGACGAGGAATTACAGGAGTCCTTTAAATGTGGAAGGGGGAGGTAGAGGAATCAGTGTCAAGAGTCTGAGAAAGACTCAGTCAGTTGCTGCTGCCTTCACAGATGAAGAGCAGGAAGCCATAGAAGCTAAATGCAAAGACGTGGACTTTCCCATAGAGTTCCCAAAAGGATCATAGCTTCACTAATATCTTGACATTAATACAGCACAGACAATTCAATTCTAGACTTCAGACTTCCGGGCTGCAGAATAAGAATTTAAGTGCTGTTTTAAATTACCATTTGTGGTTATTTGATACAGTTACAAACTTGTATAGCACTCAGGTCTCAATTTTGTTGTGTACCACATGATCTTCCAGAGCCTCAGGGTTGGTGTATGTTACTTATCCTCTGCAGCTTCATGACTGGACCAGCCATGGGTACCTGCCTCAAGGACACTGAGTCCCTTCTTAAATTCCCTCACTGACCCCCCAACCCTGCCTCTTTCAGACTTAATTGGAGAATATTAATACAAGATACCAAGAATTTTCCCATAGGTAGAGACTAGAATATGGACCAGAGATGTCACCCAACAAGTATATATTCCTGTTTGTCTTCACTGAAACAATGGTCTAGGTCGTTTGGATCCTTTTAGTAAGTTTGACCAAAGAAACAGTGAATATGCTAGTTCACTATGGGATCTGTTGAAATGCCATTCAAGGATAAAGAGCCTTGGTGCCCACTTGGTAAGCCCAAGCTGTAGAGGAGGTGGATTCTAGAGGAAAGCACCAGTCAGATGGGAAAGGCAGCAAAAGAAGGGATGTGCAGAGAACTGCAAATGAGGAAGGCTATGAGACCTGAAAGGAGACAGTGGTGAGAGCTTCCCAGGATGGCTTCCTAATCCCATCCACAGTGCAGTATGTGATTGTCCTCAGAGCAGTTCCTTCATATCTTCACCTTCTCCACCTGTATCTGGGGCTTGCAACCCAAACAGATTTACAAAAAGTACAGTGGTGGATATTCCAGAGATACAATTCTAGAAAACTAACTGAGGGCAGTGCGTTAAATGTGTATTACTATGTAAAGCTCATATGTTGACATCCTAATTCTCAGAGTGATTGTCTTTAGGTCATAAGTATTGAGTCCATTTGAATGAAATAAGCACTTCTATGCAAAAGGCCCAATAAAGACCCTTGTGTCTCCTTTGCAAGGACACAGCAACAGGTGCCATCTTGGAGCTGAGTGAGCAGCTCTCATCCAACACTGAATCTGCTGGCTTCCTAATCTTGAACTTCCCAGCTTCTAAAACTGTCATAAGGCGCTCAGAGTATGGCAGACCGTATCACAGTTTGAACTGACTATGCTGTTACTAATTGATGGTATAAAAGCAAGTCAGATTTACCTGTAATTTATTTATTCAAGTTTAGTCCCTCAGTACACTTCTAGGCACAAGACACAAGACATAAAATGAAACTGATCCCTACCTAGAAGTTAAAACACATTTTTAACTTGCTTACAATTTATAAAGAACACCAACATATTTACAAAATAGGAAAGACCCATAGTTACTATGACTTCTTCACAAAAACAGCACCAGCACATAATATCTGCATGAGGAAACTTTACTTTTTGTGAACTTCCTAATGGATATGAATATATTAGAGGAGATGAGAAAAGTTATATGCAATATTTTTATGTCTAAAATTCTTGGGAAGAATAAGAGAATTGGGCTGGAGAGATGGCTCAGTGGTTAAAAGCACTGACTGCTCTTGCAGGAGGCCCGGGTTCAATTCCCAGCACCCACATGACAGCTAAGAACCATCCTTATGTTCAGTTTTAGAGGAATCCGATGCCTTCTTCTGTCCTCCACAGCACAGTGTTGTACAGCATGGGTGCACTCACATACATGCAGGCAGTACACTTGTACACATAAAATAAAAATAATTTAAAAAAAAACC